TAAAGGTGAACATTAAACATAATGGAAAATGTAATATTGATTTTACTGACTGCCTTTGTGGCAATAGCATGCTAGGGGACGAATGACTTTTGAGGTTTGTTGTCCGGTGGTAAACGATATGCCTGCCCATAGCTGTTACAGTGCCAATGAGACATGAGTTGACAAGTCCCATGTGCATGGAATTTCACCAGTACCCTTCAAAACCGGAACGCAGCAATGCTGATATTACTTCTTGTCAGCAGAAATGGGTAAAGTAGCAGTACTTTCCTGGGCGAACTCTTTCATAAGTCTACTAACTTCTACTAAAAGTTCACATGATGTAGATGAGAATTTCTCACAGTACTATTCCACGTATTTATTTTATAATAATCTATGAATTATTAACATCACATCACTAAGACAACATTATACTTTGAATCGACGTATGTAAATAACTTTATTCCATCAAGATTGTAACTTGCGTACAATAGTAACAAACGGGACGATATAACGTTTATTTATAGTAAACAAAGACAAATACATACGTTAATAATAACTCGTCCATGGACAATAACAGCGTGTTCCGTAAAATTAAATATTAGAATATGTTTGCACCCTGTGGGTACCCTGTTTCCTTACGGGCTTTACATTGCGATTTCCAAGTGCTTTCTGCGTAGTTGCCACCTACCGCTTTTCAATAGAGAAGTATCAACGACGTACTGACAAAATTCAATTATTTACATACGTTACATAATTTTTTTATATTGAATCAATATTAGCACTACGCCCAGAAAAGTAGTGACATGTTTGTGTGCGGTTCTATTTAAGAGTCTATACAATCTGAAATGGCTTTGGTTGACTCCGCATAACAGTGAAAGTGTTGAATCAAATACCGTTGGAAAAAATATATAGTAAAATTGAGGATATATACTGATTTACTATACGGTGTGAAAACACGATTCCTATAATTTTCACGTTTTTTCTTGCAAGAAAACCGCTGTGTTCAATAGGTGCTTTACATATACCAATGATTTTTTTTATATCAACCGAACTAAATAGAACACGTCTACATATTTCAAATGGCTTTATATTATTTATATTATATTATTATGGCTATATATTAGTATGGGAAAAATTGAATTCGAGCTGAGGTAGTATCCCTTCTTAAGTACTATTCATGAAAGGGATAATAATGTGCTGGTCAACCATACCATCTGTTCTCAATCTAGGGTACCAGACTATGAGTACCAGAGCATTCAGATCAGAACCAATTATTTAGTAGCACTAGAGGCTTCTTGTGAAAGAGTTCCTCCAGGGAAGACCTTACCTATTTCTGAAGGGTAAGTGTGCTGGTAACATTACAGGCACATGCGACTTGTCAACTTATGTCTCAGGGTGACGGGCGCAGTGGTAGTGCTCCTTTTGCGATTATAGCTCTGAGTGGCACTGCAACTGTTATGGATAGGCGTGTCATTCGTTCGTCCCGTCACTTGGTATTATAAAAAATAGTCGTCAGAATGTTACAATTTTAATGTCTTTCTAATTCAAAATTTTCCAATTCCAGGTTAGATACCGTGAGAGAATAACTATCCTCCGCGGAAATCACGAGTCGCGCCAGATCACTCAAGTCTACGGCTTTTACGATGAGTGTCTTCGCAAGTACGGAAACGCGTCCGTGTGGAAGCACTTCACGGACCTTTTCGACTTCCTACCCCTTACTGCGCTGGTGGACGGCCAGATATTCTGTCTCCACGGAGGCTTGAGCCCGTCAATCGACACCTTGGATCACATTCGCGCCCTGGACCGTCTACAGGAAGTGCCCCATGAAGGGCCTATGTGCGATTTGCTCTGGAGTGATCCCGATGACAGGTTTGTTACATACTTACTTACTACTCTGTCCTCGGAACGTAAAAAAGCACAACTACTGTATAAAGTATGCGTAGTTGTGACTACTATTACAATTAGACTTATTTTTAAAGTGTAGTTGTAGCCCATTGTTTTATATAGCAAAGCCCAATATGAATACTACTTTAATTTTAAAGAAAAGTATGTATATTTCTCCCGATAGCTTATGACTACGGCTGACGTTTTGAGGAGTCACCAAACTTATCGACAATGATTCGCATTAAGCCGACCAGAGGCCTGAGTCTAAATTGGTAATCATTCCCACATTACTACCGCGTTTGCATTAAGATTTTCATTTAGATCTTAATTATATATTTATTAAGGTTTAAATTAAAATCCTAACGCAAACGCGATAGTTAAGTTTTCATATTTGAAAACTTACATTGAGGGTCCAGTTGCCTCTACCACGAGTTTACTGTGGCAGTTGTCGCTAGCGACCGCGTAAATGACTTCACAATGTTGTATGACAAATTGTACAGCGCCTCTAAACATCACAAAAAGAAACAATATTTTGCATACAAACATTTTACATGGTCGCTAGGGACAACTGTCAATGTAATCTCATGATAGAGTGACAGATATAAGAGTAAAAGAGAAGACGTGTGTCGCTTTTCTGACCGTGAGCCGATTTCTATAATACTATATATATTCTAAGCGTGGTTACTCCTTTATAATATTATTGACAAGGCCGTGGTAGTAGATATTAGAGATTCATAGAATTTGTTTTGTTTGCTGGTGGCCATTGGTGGTGGTGTTAATTACGTACAGTCCATTTACAGAGGTTGATTTGTAAGACGTGACCAATATGATTTTATTATTAATTTGTCATCCTTTTGAGATAGTATAATAAAGCACTTATGATCATACGGTAAAAGTGCTTTTATCACATGCAAGTCATAAAAATAATGTGAATTAAATGAAACAAATTATATATAAAAAGTTATCAAACTAATTTCGTTTGTTAAATCTTGAAACCTCTTTCCTCAAAAAGTTCTCATTTTGCAGATGTGGCCTTATTGCGCCATTGCTGCGAATATTTTCATTCAAATTGGCAAACGTAAAAGTGTTGCCAGCAGCCGTCAACATTTTCACAACCACTTTTTTAATGGGCCACACTAACATTTAATAACGATTTTAACATTGAACAACGAAAATATTCACATTTTTACATGAGAATATAGACTATTCGTTTGCTATCCGAAACAACTCATTTGTTGTCACCATTGCGTCATTATAAACTAGTACATCAATTAAGGACAATAGAGTTTGGAATTACCTGTCTTGTACAGAATGAGTTTTACTGAGCAAGCGTTGTTCAAGAATATAGCAACATGTTATGAAAATCGATATTATAATTACACTCAACATAGGGGGGCCCTAGGGCACAAGGGAAATTCTGTGTCGCGGGTGCCATGGACACACACATAGACAACCACAAATTACACCCAAACACGCGAGAGAAATAAAAGTAGGCCATACAAATATTTCTCCCGGCCGGGGCATCGAACCTGAGACCTCTGCGTGGCAGACCGGCAAGGTAACCATTCGGCCACAGAGGCATTTAACTTACATACTTAACCATTATGTAACATGCACTTTTGATTGAAAAGTTTTCGGCAAATAAAACTCCATTATTCGTTCATTCAAATATTGTTTTGTATCGAATATTCAGTTACACTGATTGAACATACATTTTACCACACATCACTGACGTAAAAATAAAGTTTTGAACCCTATACGAACGATATTAAGTTTCCTTTACGTTAGGGTAATATTAATAATGGATTCATTTATAATTTTACAAACTTTCCTCAAGGCTGTGTGGACAGCGAACGTCGTTGTTATTATATAGAACAAAAGGAAGATGCATTTAAAATTCAAACAATTATTTTTCTATTCAGTTTATTAGTTCACTAATTATCTTCATAATGTTGGTGCTTTGTTCTATAAATAAATATTATCTTTAAATGTTCATAAAGAACACGACCTACTATCATATAAATGTGAAGCAAAATTCTACATCCATTGTATTTGTTTTTGAGTATTTTAAGAGACAGTGGATCCGTTTTTACACAACACGATAATTAAAAATGTTTATTAATACTTAGGTCATATCAATCCCTCCTACGTAAAGTATCGTACGTCGAAATTGTCAAGTTTACAGGGAAGCGTTTTAAAGCGTTTTGAATTCACTGAAATGAGCATAACACGCGATTTTAGCATAGAAATGCTAAAATAAATTGTAAAATGATAAAATAAATTGTGGTTGTTCATCTAACCAATATCTAGGATTTTATAATACGAATAACAAGCTTTGCCGAATAAAACTGAGAAATGCTAAGTCACATCTTATGCTCATTTCTTGTAAACTTGGCAATTTCGACATGCGATGCTTTTCGTAAGAGGTGTCGATATATCTGTATTACAATTCTTCTCGTAGTAATCGTACGATGGTTCGGTCTATGTAAATGGCTTGTCAATTAGTGACAAGCAGGAACCCAGCCAAGGTCAAGCGTATGAACTAATTATCGAGTGAAGTGATAACTCGTGACGTCACCAGACGCTCTCGAGATGTTCCAATACAATAAATAATAAATTACGTAGTTCACCACGTGTGTTGACCTCCGATAAAGACGTTCACTATAATATACGTATTGGTTTTTATACCAGTTACCAACAGAACTGTTTACAATGATTCAAACTCGTCTGCGTTCATTACTAATTGAATGTGACCGGAACATATTTGTTTAGTTCCCTAGCTCCTATTAACTACCACCGTCTCGAGTTTTTTTTAATGATATCAAGGCACTGGACGAACAAGTCTTGCACCTGGTAGTAAACGACACGCCTGCCCATGACAGTTGCAGTGCCATTCAGAATTTGAAATCGCAAAGATCTGAGGGGTCTGCCACTGCGCCCTTCACCCTGAGACATTAGTTGGCAAGTACAATGTGCCTGTAATTTCACCAGCACCCTTAACCTTCAAAACCGGACCGCAGTAAAGCTCACATTACTGCTTGACGACAGAAATAGGTACAGTGACAGTACTTCCCTGGACGAACTCTCACATGGAGCTCTACTGACAAAAAAGGTGTACGCATTTTTTTCATTGCAACAAAAATAGTATCCTATCTTTTACTAGTATAGGAATCTTACCATTTTGACGTAAATTGTTTGCGCTTGATAGAAATACTAATTAATATATATATACTTTTGTAGCAGTAGAGCTTCTTGTGAAAGTGTTTGTTCAGGGAAGTACTGCCACCTTGCCTATTTCTGCCACCAAGCAGTAGTGTCAGCAATACTGTGTTCCGTTTCTGAAGGGAAAGGGTGCCGGTGAAGTTACAGGCACATGGGACTTGTCAACTTATGTCTCAGGGTGACAAGCGCAGTGGCAGTGCCCCTTAGATCTTGCGATTTAAAGCTCTGAGTGACACTGCAATTGTTATGGACAGGCGTGTAGCTTACCATCAGGCGCACGACTTGTTCGTCCTGTCACTTGATATTATGTTAAAAATTAAACTAAATCAAGCATAATGAGACGATTATGCGCTAGTTTGTTACTTATCTGGTAAATAAGGATTGATGGAGTATTTTTTTGAGTTCTGTTCTCCATAACTGGACGAGTTCGGTGGCCTAGCAGTTAGCACTATGAACGCTAGACGAGGTCCCGGATTCTGTTCGCAGCTTTCCGGGATTTTCTAGATTTTCCTCCATAGATTTAGTATACATATATACCAAGTGTGCTAAAACGTATTTGTACAAATTGGTCTCAGTCTGGGTGGTCTGGGTAGTGCCCCGAATTTAATTTCGGTGCGTTCGTTACTCATAGTACAGGAAATTCCTAATTTGTGACCGGTGGCGTGTAATTGATGTGGTTATCTGACACTTTATTATTTATTGCGTCATGTATGAATTTATTCAGGAAGGGGAAGTTCGATTCCGGATTGCTTTACTTTCGATTCATGTGCTCTTTTATTTTAAACTAGATCCGTGTCCAGCGCAATGGGACATAATATGTTAATACCAGTAACAAAGTTGCTGCATACAATACTATTCGTACTCGAGCTAAATTGGACGTAGTTAAACAAAAAGGATCCAATGCACGTCCAGTCATTTTCGAAATATGGGCAGTTTGAAGTTAAAAAGTGTTTCTCACTCTTGTTTTATTTTCAAAACTTATAATGTCATGTAACTCCAGAGATATTTATTTATGTTTATATGTTGGATTTTTGCTGATCTAAGAGGACTTTATGGACCGTTTGGTAGATGCAACACATTATTTGATAATTTTGTGTATTGGATCGTTTTTGTTTAACTACGTCCAATTAGTGCAATTTTTTTTTAACGCTCACTCATAGCTCCGCACATATTAAGGAAAGCCTGAATAGCGGGTGCCGTGAACACACACAGAAAACCACAAATTACACCGAAACTCACGAGAGAAATATATGTAGGCCATACAAATATTTCTTCCTGCCCGGGAATCGAATCCGAGACCTCTGCGTGGCAGTCCAGGGTGGTAGTCGTTCGGCTGTGGAAGCAGTTGAATAGTTGATTCAATTTAAATAGTTTTGGTTAGGTTTGTTGCACTGATCGATATATAAATAGTTAAACATATTACTGAATAGCAAATGTTTTACCATCTACAATTACACCATATTCAATTATTTCTGTGATATTATTCCACTTCGATATATATAGTGGCTCAGACACGGTGTGGCAAGACCACTGGTTCTAGCCCAGCTGGATCAAAGGAATTTTTCTTTGTTGGATCTTTGTATTAATATACTTTAATTTGTGTAAACAGAGGCGGATGGGGCATATCTCCTCGCGGCGCGGGCTACACGTTCGGGCAGGACATCTCGGAGACGTTCAACCACAGCAACGGGCTGACGTTGGTCTCCCGCGCCCACCAGCTTGTCATGGAAGGCTACAATTGGTGCCACGACAGGAATGTCGTCACTATTTTCTCAGCGCCCAATTACTGCTATAGGTATGTATTTATTTGTATCTCTTCCTCTACTGCATAGGAAAATCTCCAGTGATCCCCACATACCTTACCATAACTATGTACGGACGGACGGACAATGTCCTTGGCCCTTGTAAAAGTGTTTAGTGGATCAACTAGACCAGCTTTCAGATGTTCATATATAGTGTCACTGTTCCACAAATATCCTTAGGTTTTTAGTATATTAGTCTATCTCAAAGAATTGTTATTCATCAGGCATAACCTGGTGCAATATATGGCCCAATATTGTAACGTCATTATTTCAAACAATCGAAAGCTCCGTGGTTTATTTACAATAGCATTTAGAACATTCTGAAAGGAGCTACGTAATAAATCAAAAATAATTATTTTCATTTACGCCAATATTCTTGAAAAGCAGCCATAAATAACAACATAAATTATTGTTATATTTATATTTCTGAATTATTAGATATCGCATGTTATAGAGTTCTAACATTTTGAAACCATACTTAGTATTCATAATTTTTTTTAAATAAACTGCCGGATGTCTAAGGCTCGTTAGGGTCCACTGAAAATCAGCGTCACAGCCTTTTCCCAGCGGTGACATTAGCTGAGTGGATCTTTTACATACGCCACAGCCGCACATATGACATCTACTTAGTATACAATAGTCTTGACTATCTTTGTGGTAATTTCATTACCTTTTACTAAGATTTTATTTTTAATTAATTTTATTTAATTTCTTTTGTAATTCTATTTTTTTTTTAATTTAACTTTGTTTTTTTTTTTTAATTTCTTATTGTGTATTATTGTATTATGTAATAAATGGTTTCTATTCTGTTCTAATACCTTTTTGTTCATTTCAGATGTGGTAATCAAGCCGCCATTATGGAATTGGATGATGCGCTTAAGTATTCATTGTAAGTATTGCCTTATTGATATCACCGCGTTGTGAACCCTGTTTTGTTGTACATTTTATATGAATGAAATTCCAAGTTATCTTGTTTAGTCTACACATGTCAACGTTTAATTACTCGTTAGTATATAATTCATCAAACCAAAATCCTTTTTTAATTTAAAATAAAAATATTAAGGAATGATTATCAGCGCAAAGTGATGACGTAGTTTTAATTGCTCAAACTAGCAATTAAATACATCGGCTTAAAGTCGAAAATCCTGTGGATATTTAAGTTTATGACCGTAGTATGACTAGAGAAATAGATATAGATAGTGGAGGATGAAATTATAATGCGTTTTGTTTGTCACAGCCTGCAGTTCGACCCGGCCCCGAGGCGCGGCGAGCCGCACGTCACGCGGCGGACGCCCGATTACTTTATGTAGGCTGCACGTAAGTATCGTACCATCTTTATCTCTCTACAGTCACCGATTCTAAGACTGACATTCGATGATTTCTTTGTGATACAAAGGTTAAAGGCGTTCACACAAGAATTAATTTTGAATCACTGTGATTCGCCTTTGTGGCTTACAAAGGTTTCAGTTTATTGCAATTTTCATGCAATAATTTGTAAATCATGCAGTCCAATTAAACAATGTAATAAAAAAATATGACAATGATAAATTAATAACTTTGACCAGTTTAAAAAATGAGAACACATTCAAAATCAAAGTCAATGTAAATTTTATAAGAAATCTTTAATATTAATTAAATGTTAATTTCTTATTCTCCGCGAACTTTAAAGCAATGGCGGGCTAAGCATAGTTTTCGTATTTACATAACTTTATACAAAAAACCGACCTGAAAAGTTCGTGGAATTACATCTATTTGCCAAGTTTTATTGGAATCGGTTACCGGAAAGTGTGCGAAACCGGATTCTCCCCTAGATCGTCACCCTTAGAGGTGGAATGTTTTCTTCAAATTTAAATGGGACCAGTACTGAGGGACCCTCTTTCCAACAAAAAAACCATCAAAGAATCTATCAATATCGGTTCACAAAATAGTTAATCGCGTACCATATATACAAAATAAAAACAGTCGAAATGAGAACCTTCTATTTTTTGGTCAACACTGAATATATATCACATACTCGATGTTGGTTAAAAACGAAGTACGAAATGAGGTATTTATTTGATCTAGTTGCCTTGCAAGTTATTAGTGGTCGGTTACTTATTTCTTACACTAAAAGGAAATGTATAATATAATATGCCTTACTTTCTTAAACTCGTATCTTATAAAGAGTACTTAATTACTCAGGAGACGGTGAAACTTTCTATTCATTTTAAATGCCTTATCAAAAGTGTTAATTTGGATGCGTTACTTACTTTAAGAATAGGTAAAAGCCAGTGTGAATTGAAGGAAATTAGATGTGAAATCAGCCTGCATTTTTTGCATTTCAGTTACTTTGTGCTTTAAGATATGAGTTTGAGAAAGTAAGGCATATGTAAGGTATATGTAAAATATTTTTAATCTGTTTGGTTGTTGCAGACAAGCGAATATGCAGCAGCGGGCGCTGCGCCGCTGCGGGGCCGCCGGGCCCGCCTGGAGGCCCGCGCCCTCGCGCCGGCCCAGCTGCGCTCTCCCCCGTAGGCCTCGTCGACGTGCAATACGAATGTAGGGTTGTGATCGTCACTTTTCCCGGCGTGAACGGTGCAGTGAATGGAAGTACCGGATTCACTGCGGTCACTCGCCTGCGCGTCGGCCGCGCGGCGCTCGCGAGGAAATAACGTGTCATTTGAACCCTCGTTTATTGTCCGTGACGTAATATGAAAATTGTAAAGTTACTCAGTACAAGATCAGTTCGTCTGCCAAATTCCACAATTGACGTCCCCAGTGTTGACCGCAAACGTATTGTAACGCGTTCGTCTTATTTCCTCGACGGCCCCGCGGCGGCCGAGCGACGGGGCGGCGGCGCCCGGTTGCATTTAAATTAGTAAGTGAACTCGTCGCGAAGTAGACCGATATGTTGGTATGTTCATTGTAAGCCCCGGCGGCAAGCTGCTCCTGTATCTACACAATTTATGTATCGAGACATTTAGACCTCATTAAAAAGCGTACGTTTGCTACCTCGTCGTTTTATTTCGCCACCATCCATCGCTCACATAATGGACATACCACCATACCCTTTGGTGCCACACACACCGCGTCAAATTCCCTCTTAGCTTGCGACGAACTTTTTCGTACGTTCACATTTTTTCACGTCATTTTATCCATAGAAACGGACCCGTTTTAATTTCGAACTCTAAGTTACTGTAGATCAAAATCTGTGAAGTCCATTTTATAATTTTATTTTTAGTTTAACTTTACAAATATTAAAATGAATTTTTACAGTTTGATAGCCAATTTTAATGTATGTTACTTGGACCATTTATTTACCTACTACACTGTACCTACGCGAGCACTCGCGCTGGAAAGACAATAGCGAGCATTTAATTTTGTGACAGAATGGGGATGTATGACATATATTTATGATTAGTTTATGCGAAGAACTTGGTTGACGACTAAAGTATTAAAGAGTTTTAATCACAGTGTCCAATGCAACCATTCTGTAATGGAATAAAAACCAATCATGCATTTTCTTCAAGATTCTCCTATTCTTGTGCCAGAGTAGGTACCTGTTCATGGAATAAAGTGGTACACAAGAAATGGAGTTTTAATAGGTTTTTTTTTATGAAATTGCTAATATAATTTAGGTAATTGTGTAAATACCTAAAAATCAAGGCATTACATACAGTGTCATCGTTTAACAATAAGTATGGACTGTCCCGTAAATGTATACTCATTTTCGCGTTCTTAAACAAGGTAAGTAATTTTAATAACGTTTTATATGTGAGCATATGACGAATATGCCGTTGGCGATTTTTATACAGATGGGCTCCATTCGACGATTAAAACGTGGCGAAGTCCAGAATGCGACATTTTGTAACTTTACGATGAACAAAGATTACAATGACATGACTGTAATCCTATAAAAACAATATAATATGATGATATTATATTGTTTTTTATAGGATTACTATTATAGGATAATTAGTTGTCATTGTAATTTACATTAAACTGTCATGAAATTACACGACCGCGATAAAGTTACGTAGTTCATTCGGTAGTAATGCTTAGTTTATCTACATCTTATATTTCATATAAATACTGACAAAAGCTATTTATTTGATTGTAACAAAAAATTATCTATCTACGGATTATTTCTTTTGTCAGTGCCATGGATTATATAGAAATTATTATTGTATAAATTATTACATTGGTTTATCTACTTTTCCAAAATGCACTTGTAGAAAAGCGTGTGTACTAATACAAAGACTATTACCCACCAATGACATCTGAAGCCACACGTTTCGTTGAGCTAAGTATTAAGTATGTAAGTTAAAGATAAAAAAGAAATATAAAACAAAAAAATCCAAAAAGAATGTACGTCGGGCTTTGTTTGCGTGAAATAATTTCTTCTGCGTAAGGTTGATTGGACTGCTTCTTGTAGTTATTTCGCCCATACAAAGTTCGAGTTTAAATTTTAAGGCTTTCCTTGGCAAACTGCATAGGTATTAAACAAGGATTTATAAGTGATGATTTGGGGAACTTTTGTATGGTTCGTATGTTCTAGTGTGACGATATACATAGATTGAATAGTTAAAGGTATTGATTTTGCTCCCGTTGTTCCAGGACCCACAAACCGCTACGTAATGGCAATAATAAAATATGTAACAGAACCTTTAAGTAAAATAATTTATTCTTGCAACTGTACTATGCCCGTTGATAGGATTTAGGTAATAAATAAAATTCATTATAAAAATTGGTTTTTTTTCTGAACCCCGCATCGCATCCTGCCTGTTTGTGATATAATTCTTAGTTCAAACTATATAGCTCATTTACACCGGGTCGTCTGCCGAATAGGTAAACTACTTCGCTTTGTTGATGTGCGACTCACCCTTTACACCGCGTCGTCACCGTCAGGGAGTCGTCTGCCGAATTGTGCAACTTCGCTGAAATTGCGACCCAGTGCAGTGGTGACATAATTTTTTTATCCATTTGTCTGGCAATTTGGGTAAACAAAAAGTACTGTTTAACAACCAAAAATTTCCGTCATAATTGTTTCGGGGAAAAAAACAGGTTTTAAGAACAGTAATATTTATTAATTTCGTTTTAATCGGTAATTGTTTTTGCCATTCGCATATGCATACAATAAACAAATATCTATTTCTAAATCTGGGAACACATCGCACACTTGTGTGGTGTAACACCATGCACTGAAGAAGCGGATTAATACAGCATATTATTTTCAAGTACCTAACTTCATCAACCAACGGTTTCTTTTGAAAGACAAGTGACAGCGACAGTTGCCTGCGAAACCAAGCGAGTGTTCCCCGCCGCGTTCAGGGCTTGTTATCCCACAATGAGTTTTTTATTCCGCCGTATAAGTTTGTTATAAATACGATACAAAAAAAAATAATCCTTAACCTCACCTAACCTCTAAAAATATTATTTTTTTAAATGTATGGTGTTTCTATACAAACGAGTGATATGCGATGTTGTAAAAAATACATCAATAATGTTGATCGTAATTGATGTTTTTTATCAACAGCCAACAGCCATCAAACTAAAGATGAATCAGTTATGTATGGTAAATGGTAAAATGTAAAAATCCCACATTATTCCTCTCTCCGCAACTTGGGAAATTCCTTATAAGTTAATAATAATAGGGGTTAAAGTATGAAATTGCCGATTTGTACTGAAAATCTAAATTGTTTATTTTTTAAATTTTTAACAAATTTATTTAATCAAAATAGTTGCCATTATTACCTATACATTGCTGCCATCTAATGGGAAGGTTATTAATGCCTTTGCGA